AATTCAACTGTTTTATAAAAAAAAAAAAAAAGAAAGCAATTATTATGTTTTTTATATGAAATTGCTCTTATATTTTTATGCTTTATGCTTTTTTTTCTGGTGCTTGAATAGTTTGGGGCTGAGATTGTTGTCTTTCTAAAACTTTGGTTAAAAACTCATTTTCATATTTTTGTTTTTGAATTTCCCGCGCATTAGCTTGATTAATTTTTTGCTGATAATTAGTAAATAGATTTTGGTCAATAGGAATTCCGGCAGCTTCAAGTAGTTGCTTTTTCGCAGTTAAGCGATTTAAGGCTTCTTCCCGCAGTTTTTTAAGTAATCCTTGAATTAAACGATTATAATCATGTCGTCGTTTGAAATACATTAATTCAATTGGTTTACTAGAATGAGGAGGGGTATACTTTTCTAAATCCAGTAAAAATTCAAAAAGTTTTTTGCGATTTTCTTGAACTGCCTGGCTGTCATTATTTTCATCTTCTTGTTGCTTGTTTTTAAGAATTTGCTCTTCTAACTTTTTTATTTTTCGCTCATTAGCTTGGATTTCTTGCTCTAAGGAACTAAGTTTTTCAACTTGATTTGCTTTTTCTTTGGCTTTGATTAATTGCTCTTTTAAAACTTTATTATTTTGCTGTAATTCAGTGAGCTGATTTTTTAAATCCTTATTTTCTTTACCGACTAAAATAGTTCTTAATTCAAGAGTTTTTATATATTTTTCTTGATTTTTAGATTTTTCTTCTAATTCTTTTATTCTTTCTGTTGTCATAATATATATTTTATCTACTATTAATTTTTTAATAACTAAAAAATTAACCCTGCGGCTTATATGGAGCCTGAATGATTTTGGCTTCGATTAACTGACCTAATTCATAAATTTCAGCTCGTAGTTTTTGTTGTTCGGCTTCACTGGATTGCAAGTCTTGGGCTAATTTTGCTTTGACTTCTTCTTCTAATTCTCTTAATTTGTTTAGACAAGTAAATAAAACTGAATTAGGATCAACTACTTCTTCTTTTTTAATCATCCGGTTGTATTCCTCTTTCAGGAATTTAGTTAAAACTCACACTTGCGATTGGTTAGTTAATCAATCTTTTAATTCTTGTTCAGCATAATCATCATAAATGATAAGTACGTTTTGCTCACCTTTGTTAGTTTGAAATCTCTCATTAAAAGCAACCTCAGTATACTTTCCATGCTCGTTTTTGTTTCTTTTAATATCTTTTTAGTCAAAAGAGTGTAATCAGTTAAATTTAACTGTTGAATAGTTTCTAATTCTTTTTTTTTGGCAGAATTTAAATCTGCTAATTGTTGTTCGAGGCTTTTTTTGGCTTTTTCACTTTCGGCTAACTGAGGATTTAAATGCTTCTGTTTGCTTTCTAAGTTATTTTTTTCTTTTTGAATTTGATTGCCTGAATTATGTAGATTTATTTTAACACTACGGTCGACTCAGACATTAGTCTTAGCAAAATAATCATTCTCAATTAAATAATTAATCCCAGTTAAATAACGACAATTACTAAGATCAAGAGATTTTATTTGATTGCTTGTACATTTAAGTTCAGTTAGATTAGGGCAGTTTGAAAGATCGAGAAAAGTTATTCCTTGACCATTATAACTAATTTTCTTTAAATTTGGTTTATTTCCTAAAATAAGTTTAGTAATTTCGGATTTAAGTTCGTTTCAATTTAAAATTATCATTATGCTTTCTAATCCAGTATAATTGCTTAAATCTAAGGTGCCTTCTTCTAACTGTGTAATACCACGATTTCTTCTTTCGGAATCTATTTCTACAATGTTAATTTCCTTTACTTGTTGTTTGTCCCGTAGAGTGGGATATTTATTGTTTAAATATTGTTGTAAGGTTGTCATAATAGTTAATTTATATTCTTATAATAACTAATCTTGTTTAGGAGGATTAACCACCACAATTTGAGCTTCTTGTTGGCTTTCGGTTTCGCAACAAGCACCACATTGTAGTTTGGAGAAAACTCGTCCAGCCAAACTCGCCGCTTTTTTTTCGTTATCGATAGTTTCTTTTCTTCATCCATCTTCTGCTTTGAAAGTTGAGTCGATTAATGGAAGAGTTTTTTCATCATAAAAAAGGTAAATTTTGCGTTTTCCTGCTTTGCTTCACATGATTCGAGTAGTAACCTTGTGATCACCTGCTACTGAATAATAATTTTCTCATCAACCTTCTTTTTCTCTTACCGTTTCTTCGGCTAATTCCAGCATTTTTTTCCAAGCTAAATTCCATTCACTAATAATTCCTTCTTTTGCTTCACCAAGATATTTTTTTTTTCTTTGTTTTCCTTTTAAAGTTTCATCACGATCTCTAAAATAAATTACATGATTATCGGCCATTTCTGAATCTTCCATGTTTTCGAAATTAAAAAGAAAAGGGTCGGCAAAATCTTTTATTTTTTCTCGTTTTTTAGGAAGAAAACAGCTCAAAGTATAGTTTAAAGTTGAATCATTAGAATCAAAAAGCGTTTGTCAAAAAGGAAGACTGTGTACTTGATTAGGCGGAAGCAAACCTTTATGTTCATCTATCATTACCCGATCATGGGCAATTTCGTGCAAGAAAGTAAAGATGATCGCTAAATCACTAATTTCAAAAGTAAGCGTTATATCAAATCCCTCAGCCCCATTTAACTTATAAGCAGTATCACTATAAGTTCCTGGGGTTCGAGGACGAGGATAAAGCTCTATTTTCTCATTATTAAGATGACTTTTAGCATATTCTTTAGCTATGCCTTGTAATATCCAATATAATTCATATTGCCAACTACCTTCGTTATAGTTTTCTTCTTTAAGTATCGCGAGAAACTTAGCATTAGCCGGCTCATTGGCTCTTGCTTCATTTTTTTTCAAGTGATTTCAATTTTTTTCAGCTAGTTTTTGGATGCAAGTGGCAACCCGATCATTTTTATTCATCGCTTGATAAGCTTGTTTAGCCTCGGGAGAATCTTCTTCTGCTAACGCATCCAAATGTTGGCGAGTTAAGCGGCGTTTTTCAAATATTTCTTCCTCTTTATCTTTGTCATCCAGCAAAATATTTTCTCCACTTTTAAGCACTTCGCTTAATTCTTGATGAGCTGCTTTTTGTCGCGGCAAATAATTAAGCATTTCCTGAGCAAAATTTTCTACTTCTGGTTGACTGGTCAGGTTTATTGATTTTTGCTTGGTATCCTTGGTAAGCAGGAATAATATCTCCATTCGCTTCGCTGAGAATATATCCTTCTTCCAAAGCCGCTTGAATAGCTTTTTTGGCTTGCTCTTGGGCTTCATCCAAATTTTTTGGTTTTTGCGGTCGATTTTGTAATTCAGTCATTTGCTCTCTAAGATTAGTATTTTCCTCATGAATAAGATTAGTAACTCCGCGATTACGTTCTATTCTTGCTTCAAGTTCCCGAATCAATTCCGACTGGTCTTGCTTGTTTGCTTTTTCTAACTCTGCTTTCTCTACTTTTAACTGTTTATTTTCCTTATCTAAATTTTCTATTTGTATTTGATTAGTGGCTAATTTTCCTTGTAGTTCTTTGACTAATTCGGCTTGTTGGCTGGCTTTTTTTTCTAGTTGCTCAAACTGGTCAACTTTTTCCTTGGCCACCGCTAACTGGCGAACAAGTTCCGAATTTTTTATTGCTAAATCATTTAATTCAGTTTGCAACTTTTTGGTTTTTTCTCCCAATTGTCTTTGCTGCTCTTGAGCCTCATTTAACTTTTCTAGAACAGCGGCATTATTATTAGTTGATCCAATCTTTAAATTTTCAATCTCTGCTTGCAACCTTGCTTTTTCTTGTTCATTTTTTTCTAACTGCTTTTTTTTATTATTGACTTCTTCTTGTAGTTTCTTTTGTTGTTTTTCGACCTTTTCTTTGTCAAGTTTAAATTTATTTGCTCAGTTTTCTCACTCTTGGGCTAATTTTAGATGACTTGCTTTCTCTTGGTTGGCCTGATTTAATTGATTTTGCACTTCTCTTGTTCTACCTTGTTCAGTAGAAAGCCCAGAACTTAGATTGTTTACTTGTTGTCTTAAACTATTAGTAATTTGCCGCTCTGTATTTAAGTGTTGATTAAGTTGGTTAATTCGCGTTCGCGCTCGACTATTCATTTCATCAATTTCTCGCGGAGCAGTATTCTTGATTCAATTATCCACGTTTAATTGACGCTCCAATGCAGCAAAATTACTATTAGGAAACCGCTTACCAAAGGCTAAATGCACTTTTCCGTTCCTGAATTCATAACGGTGATAAGCAGCTGCATAACTAGCAGTAGCTCAGTCAGACAGTATGGCTCCTCTTCTTCATAATTTAACTATTACATAGGTATTGCCTTCATTGTCAGTAACATAACGTTGACATTCCATACCGGCCGTAATGGTAGTAGCAATTCCCAATCCCATAAGGTTCCAATCGGCATGAACTGCATTATATATGTCATTTTTTTGCTTGGTTGTCAAACCTTTTGTATCCGTTATCATTCTATTCTCCTTGTCAAGTTACTGTCAACTTTATTTAAATTTGTTTTATGTTTGGTATTTTTAACTACCATTACTCATTTCATTGTATCCTTTTTCATGATAATATATATTTTACAACTAAACATTTTTTTATGTTAAGTTTTGAATTTTTTTGTTAGTATTAAATTAAAATAGAGAATGTATACTTTTATATATAGATAAGTTAGTTTAAAAAAGAATTAATTATATTTGGTAAAATGAAATGTTTTTGTGAGAAAAATGTAAAAAATAATTCACTACTTATAAAAGCAACTCACAAAGAATTCAAGAAAATTTAACATTATGAAATAATAGAAAAAAATCAAGAGATAATCATTCACGATTTTGAGGATTTATACGATATAATTTTTACCACCGAGGACTTTAAACGTTTTAAATTAGAATGACGTGATTCGGAAAAATACATTGAATTTCCGATAGAAATCATGGATGCAGATATGTCTATTACTTTTAATGATATGATTAAAACTAAAACAATTCATAAGACCCCTAACCGCGAGATAAAAATTTGAATTCATACCCAAGCCAGTCCTAAAACCGATAAAACTTATGAGCGAGTTTTTTTATGGTGTGGCTATGACCAAACTGCTTACAAAGGCTTTTTAAACCAAAAAAAAAATGGAGCCGGTTGAATTGCTTATTTAAAGGTTAAACTTCCGCAAATAGAGCTTTCTAATTATTAATAAAGCAGTGGTGTTTGCTAAAAATTAAATGTGAAGCAAGAGCAAAAAATTGATATTAAACCACTTATTTCCACCCGCAACTTTTTAGCGGAAATTCTCCAAAATGCCCGTAATGATTACGAAAAAGCCGGAGTTATTCAAGCTTTTGAGGTGTGCTATGAGTTAGCCAAGAATACTATCCGTAAAGTATTGTTACTTCGTGCTCAGCCAGTTTACGCTACCCCTAAAGAAATCTTTCGTTTAGCTGGATTAGAAGGTCTAATTCCGGATGCTGAAAGCTGATTTGAATTTGCTAAAAAAAGAAATAAAACTAGTCATACTTACGATGGGGAAGTAGCCGAAGAAATACTTAGTTCTTTGCCTAATTTTCTTCATTGCCTTGATTTATTAATCACTAAATTGAAAGGAATACCAGAATGTTACAGTTAGAAATTAGACACTACCAAATAATCCAACAAGTTCTTCATAAATATCCGTATACTTTTTATGCTTATGGTTCAAGAGCAAAAGGCACCGCAAGAAAACTTTCCGATTTAGATATTTGCTATCAAGAGGTAATATCAGATGCGACGGCTTTTCTTATTGAAGAAGAATTTAAAGAGAGTGATTTACCTTTTAGAGTAGATTTAGTAGCTTGAAAAGATATGAAACCAAGTTTTCGTGAATTAATTAAAGCAAGCTTGACTAGGTTAAAATAAATTAAAACTAAAACAATTCATAAGACCCCTAACCGCGAGATAAAAATTTGAATTCATACCCAAGCCAGTCCTAAAACCGATAAAACTTATGAGCGAGTTTTTTTATGGTGTGGCTATGACCAAACTGCTTACAAAGGCTTTTTAAACCAAAAAAAAAATGGAGCCGGTTGAATTGCTTATTTAAAGGTTAAACTTCCGCAAATAGAGCTTTCTAATTATTAATAAAGCAGTGGTGTTTGCTAAAAATTAATTAAAAAAATTTAACCATACATCATGCCAGAAACTTCCTTAATAAACATTACCGAGAAAATTAGACTAGGTTGTTTTTACACTACTCAAAATATATTTAGTTACCCCCAATTTCAAGGGTGGTTTACCGATGCTTTAAAAGCCAGCAATAACCTAGTTCTTGAACCTTTTGCAGGTTCGAATAACTTAATAAAAATGCTCCAAGAAGAAGGCTATAATTTTGAATTTGCTGCTTACGACATCAACCCTAGTTCTCTTGAAGTAAAAATTAGAGATACCATTCAAGATTTTCCCCAAGGTTATAAACTAATTATCACTAATCCCCCTTATTTAGCGAAAAACTCTGCTCGCCGGAAAAAAATCGACTTCCCTACTACTAAACATGATGACTTATATAAACTTTGTCTAGAAATAATGCTAAAAAATTGCGATTATGTGGGAGCAATCATTCCCGCTTCTTTCATTAATGCTGATTTATTTCTCGAAAGATTACACTCCTATACCCTATTAAGTAGTCAAATGTTTACTGATACTGAAAACCCAGTTTGCTTAGTTTTATTTTGCCCTGCGGGAAGTAATAAATTACTTTCTCCCCAAAAATCTAGTTCAATTTACCTCTACGAAAACGATAAATATGTCGGCGAACTATATTCCTTAAAAAAGCAAGTAGAACAAGTTTTAACTAACCAAACTTCCCAACCAATTGCAATAAGTTTTAATAACAAAAGGGGGAATTTAGGTTTAAGAGCCATTGATGGAACTCGTTTTCCGACTATTGCCTTTATTGAAGCTAGTCAAGTGCCAGAAAACAGAATAAAAGTTAGTTCTCGTCATTTAACTAGAATTCACACTCCAAAAAAAATTAATTTAAGTTTACTAAATGAAAAACTAAAAGAATTACGAGAAATAACCAATGATTTTTTCTTAACTCCTTTTCGTGGTTTAAGAAAAGATGGTAAATTCCGCCGTCGTTTAGATTTTCAACTAGATTTTCAACTAGCCAAAAAAATTATTGAATCTTGCTTATAAAAATGATAGACTGGGAAAAAGCCATTAAAGAACAAATTAAAGAAAACTTGCTCGATTGTGAAAAGAATTTAGATAGCAAAGAATATCGCACTAAAATTAAAGAGTGGGGTGATAAATTTGACTTTGATTTTGACTTAATTTTCGCCAAAGCCAAAAACGACCCTTATTTTCGAGCCTTTTTTGCCAAAGACCCTAAAAAGCAAAATATTTACGAAAACCACCCTCGGCAAATATATTAGTTCATTTCCTTTTGTTTCTGATTTTCAACAACTAAGTAGCGGTGGTAAAAATGCTTGCTATCTTGACCGCGGAGTTATTCGCAAAGGCAGTGATTATCCTCATGACAAACCAGCCAAATCAATAGACTTTTGCTGAAATATTAAGAATAAGAAAGGAGAAGTTTTTCATTTCTATGCTTTCCATAAGTATATTGAGGAAAGTGGTGGAGCCCAAGATAATCAGTTTAACGAAATTAAAAAATGTATCGAAGTTGGTAGGAATGGTAGTCAAGAAACAAGTAGGAGAGTTATCTTTGTCTGTGATGGAGCTTATTTCACCGATGAGAAAATAAGAGGATTAAAGAATTTAAAAGTTAGTTGGAATTTTATTGTTTTAAAGAGCAATGAATTAGAAAAGTATCTTAAAAAATTTTAGAAAAATTAACTTTACAATTTTCTTTAAAATACTGATTATTACCCAAAAACTACTTCTTTTCTAATTTAGCTTTAATAAATTGAATAACTTTAACTAACTGTTGCTCATCAGAATGATAAAGCAGAGCAAACCCGTTGGGTTGTAAATCAATTTCTACTCCTGTTTCGTGGATTAAACGATTAATAGTTTTGCCTTGGCTGCCAATAATTAGCCCAAACCGATCCGTTCCAATAAAAAATTTTTTAAATTTTATGGCCTGAGTTGGTAAATTATCTCGAACTTTTGGTAAACATTTTTTCATCTCTTGTAGCAAATAAAGTCTAGCTTTTTTACCCACTTGTAAACTCTCTTGAAAAACTGAAAAAGCAATTCCCTGATTTTTAACGTCTAATTGTAAAGAACAAATTCCTTTTTCGGTGCCGGCTATTTTGAAGTCCATTTCGCCAAATTTATCTTCTAAGCCGTTAATGTCTACTAAAATTTCTTTTTCTAGTAATCCCAAAGCAATTCCAGCAACCGGTCTTTGTAGCGGAATCCCAGCCGCCATCAAGGCTAAGGTAGTGGCACAAATAGCGGCCTGTGAAGAAGAACCATCTGAACTTAAAACTTCTGAAACTACCCGAATGGTATAAGGAAATTTATCAATAGTAGGAAGCAAAGGAGGAAAGGTTTTTTCAACTAACTGACCGTGGCCAATTTCTCGGCGTGAAAGTGACTTAAATCCAGCAATTTCATTAACCGCAAAGGCGGGGAAATTATAATGGTGAATAAAATGCTTGTGAGTATGCACAAAAATATTATCAATTAATTGCTTATCGCTGGATTTTGCTAAGGTTACTACTTAAAGAACTTGGGTATCTCCTCGTTGAAATAGAGCACTTCCATGCACATTAGGAAGATAATCAGTTTGTATACATAAAGGGCGGATGGCATCCTTTTTTCGTCCATCGAGGCGTTGTTGGGTCTGGTGAAAATTTGCTTTAATCCATTTTTGTAAAACCAAATCACAAATTTTTTCAATTTCCTCCGCAGAAGAAATTTTTTGGTTAATGTATTCTTCTTTTAAGGCTTGTAAACTAGTTTGTAATTTCTTTTCCCGAATAGCCCAATTACCATTAATTAGCAAAGTTTTTTCAATTGCTTGATTTATTTTTTTCTCTCAATTCTCCTCAATGACCTTTTCCGGAATAGAAGATAATTTTTTTTGAACCTTTAAAGAGTTAGCCACCTGCTGAAAAAAATGAATAATTTGCTTAATTTGTGCTTGGGCAAAGTTAATGGCTTTCTCTAACTCTTTTTCTGCCATTTCTTCGGCTTCTAATTCCACCATTACAATATTCTTTTCGGTAGCAGTAATAATTAGTTCAAAAGCAGAATCATCTAACTCCATAATGCTAGGATTACAAATCAATTTTTCTTGGCTTTTACCTACTACCACGGTAGTTAAAAGTTGGTTAAAAGAAGTTAGTTCAGAAGCTAAATAACAAACTAAAATTGAATTTCAACAGGCCGCCACGCGGGGGTCAGCAGTGGGATCAAAAGCAAGCACACTATTGGTAATCTGAATTTCGTGCTGGTTGCCTAACGGAAAGAAACTTCGTAAAGAGCGATCTATTAAGCGAGCAATAGTAACTGAATTGTAATCGGGTTTGCCTTCTCTTTTGCTAAATACAGCCGGTATTTTGCCCACCGAATAAAATTTTTCTTCAAAAAAAATAGTTAAAGGAACAAAGTTTAAATTGCTAACCTCAACTGATTGTTTAAGGCAAAGCACGGTTAAAACTACGGTATTGCCATATCGACAAAGCACTGATTTTTCACTTTTAGTGGCTAACTGATCAACTTCGAAAATCAACTTTTTTCCTTGGAAATTAAATTCAAATTTTTTCCGAGTCGAGCCATTCATTAATAAAATTTTACTTACTATTTCAGTTTTTCTAGTTATTACTTTCTTAATCTTTTTTAAAAAAGGGCAAAAAAATCGTCCATAGAAATAGGGTCAATTTCGGCAATAATTTCTTGCAATTCAATTTTATCACTATTGCTAATAGTTAATTTATTAATCTCTACCTCTAAACAAGGTTCAGTAGTATAAAAATTATAAAGACATTGATACAAATAACGATTTTCGGATTGAGTAAAGAAATAATTGGCTTGTTGAAGCCATAATCAGCAACGGCGATTTTTACAACAATAGGCTAAAAGATACTTTTCTTTGCTTTTGTTTTCCGTTTTTATTTCGTTTGCTTCATGACTGGTTTCATCTTTTTTTTGGGCCGCAAAAAAAACTTCTTTAACTTCGGCTTGACTTCATCGCGTAAACGAACTAATTTTTTCTATTAAAAATTCTTGAACCTTGCTGGAAAAGGTTTTAAATAAATTCGCTATTTTATCAATAAAATTTTGTACACTTTGAGGATTTTCGCGAATCTCCCATATTTGCGCAAAATGTTGCAAAATATAAGAATAAGGGTCTTCTTTTTTTTGCAAAATGCTGGTTAATTCTTCTGATTTTTGCTGACAAATTTCATCTGGATCTAAACCTAAAGAGTGATTAATAATTTCGCACTCAATATTATAATTCAAAAGTGCCAAAGCAACTTTAATGGTGGCTTGTTTTCCTGCCGAATCTCCATCTAAAAAAAGGATAACTTTTTTTTTAAGTTTTTTAATTAAACTAAGTTGCTGCTTGCTAAGCGAAGTTCCTAATAAAGCTAGACAATTGTTAATTCCTTTTTGAGTCAAACTAATTACGTCAAAAAATCCTTCTACTAAATAGCAAAAATCTTCTTCCACTTGCCTGACATGAAAATAATTATAAAGCAATTTAGATTTTTGGTAATTCTCATAATTAGGAAAATAACTATATTTACTGTTAATTCAGGAAGTTTCTTCGGTTTGTCGAGCGGCAAAAGCCACAATTTCTCCGGATTCATCGCGAAGAGGAATAATTAATTGATTTTCTCCAAAAAAATCACTAATTTTATTATTTTCCTTGCTTCTTAAAAGGTTGAATGAAAACAGTTGTTGAGCAGCTTCACTAGCAGAAAATAAATTAGTTAATTGTTGATGGTTAACCGAACAGCCCAGAGCAAATTGCTGGATAGTAGAAAAGTTAAGTTGTCGCTTTTGTTTTAAATAAGCACGTATTTTTTTTCCTCCTATGGAATGTAAATTATGTTGATAAACTTTCATTACTAAGCAAAGTAATTTTTTTTCTCGATTATTTTCTGCTTGAACTAACCAATTTTCCTCAGCGCCAACTTGATAGCCTAATTGTTTAATTTCTTGTTTTGCCTTTATCAAAGAGATATTTTTAATTTGAGCTCATAATTTAAAAATATTTCCTGTCCCAAAACCACAACCAAAACATTTAAAAAATTTTTTTTCTGGCTCAAAAGCAAAAGAAGAAGTTTTTTCTTTATGCAAGGGACAAACGGCAAAGTAATCTTGTCCTTTTTTACTAAAAGTTAAACGAAATTCTTTTTTCAATAATTGTATAATATTTTCAGCAGAAAGCGGAAGCAAATTTTCTGGTTCCATATTAATTTTTTTGTTATAAAATACGTTTTTTAGGAAATTTATTAATGTAATAGAGCATCTTTAAACTATTACTCTACTCATAATTATGTCTGCTTCTTATAACCAAATTTCACTTCCTTTTGGGAATTTATTGCCTATATTGTTTCTTTATATTTAAGTTTCGTCTCAAATTTCAACCTTTTCTTTTAGAGTTTTTTATTAGCAATTAACTTTTTTTGAAACTCCTCTTTTTTGTTGCTGTTCCTCTTTGCCGTGATACTGATAGAGAGTAGCCATAGCGAGTAAGTTGTCGCCTTCGATTATTAGGTTTTGGGATTTTTGTTCCTCAGTTCCAATACTTAAACTTTTGATTTCTCGTAAAGTTATTGGTTTTACTTTGCGGGCTATTCTTTGGGCGTTGGCTTTGCCTGAGAATAAGAGCTTAATGCCGCCTTGTAATACTCCTTCTAATTTGGCTTCTAGTTCTTGGATTTTTTTTTGAAGAAATTGAATTTGTTGGTCTTTTTTTTGGTTCATTATTAAGTTAATTTTAAGAATTAAAAAAATCAATAGTCAGTGTTCTGCTATAAAACCATAATTAATGCTTGTATACACTTATATCGATGAAAGCGGAAAGTTATTTCATAAAGAAAGATATCAAAACTTTACTGCTGTTGTTTTTACTAATTGAAGTTCGTTGAATAACTTTAAAAAGAAATTCAGTGAAGCAAAAAAAATAATTTTCGAGCAATGTCCCGAATTAATGACAGAGGATGGAAAGGAAATTAAAGGAAGTGATTTGTGGAGCAAGAAAAAGTATGAGATTTACCAAGGCTTATTATTAGAAGCATTGAAAGGAAAAAGAAATTATGTAAGCATCTTTTCCCAAGGAGTTGGCTTGATAAACTTCGAGGAAAATTATTGAAAAAATGATGAGTTATGTTTAATAATATGAATGAACATGAAAAAATGGCTAATCGAAGACTTGATAGTTCAATATAATAAGCACTTAATTAATAGATGGCATAAAAGAGCGAGAATGAAGAAAAGAAGGTCGTTTTTGAAATATACATCGATAAAGAAACCGCCAAAAATAAATTTGAAGAAGAAATTAAGCAAAGATTAGAAAAAACGGCTAATGAAAAAATAAAAATAATTGTTCGACTTGGTTTAGATTCAAAAAATTATCCAGGGATACAAATGGCAGATATTATTGCCAATGGCTTACAAAGAGATTATAAAAGAACCGGTAAAACCAATAAATTCGAAAAATATTTTAAGAAAAAAACAAATTTCAAAATAGCAATTTCCAAAACGTGAAAGAAAATAAAAAAATAAAACTATATTTCTTATAAAATCAAATAGTATTGAATTTTCGCAAAATTATTTTTTAAGAACACACCAATGAGAAACCCCACTATCTAATCAAACATCCATGATATCTTGCCCTAAAACTATTCCTCTATCTATTAAACTGGGAAATTTCTCTCGTAAAAAAATTAAAATACTACCATCAAATCAGCAATCAGAACCACGATTAGCAACTATTTCAGCCACATAATCAATAATTTCCGAATTAAGTACCGGTTCATTATTTTTATATAAAACTGGAATTGGCACACCTCATTTTCTTTGGCGAGAAATACACCAATCCTCCCGAGCCGAAATGGCTGATTTCATTTTTTCTTTGGTTCAATTTGGATATCACTCAACTTTTTCAATATTTTCTAACAATTCTTTTTTTATCGCTTCTACTTTAATAAATCATTGTTTAGTTAAACGGTAAATTAAAGGACTTTTATCCCGTCAATCATGGGGATAACTATGGCTAATTACTTCTTTTTTTACTATTAAATTCCTTTTTTCTAAATCAGTGATTACATAATCATTTACTTCGCTATAATGTTGGCCAATGAGTTCGGAAATCGCAATTTTTTCATTAAATAAACCATTTGGTTCTACCGGGCAGTCAATTGTCATTTTTTCTTTTTTAGCTATCGCAAAATCTTCGGCTCCAAAAGCTGGTGCCAAGTGAACGATGCTTGTTCCTTCTTCCTCTTGAATAAATTCGTTGGCTTTTACCACGTAGCCTTGGCTATCTTTCCGATAAGGATGAGAATAACGCTTACCTAATAAATCTTGTCCTAAAACTGTTTTTTCAATTTTGGCAGTTTTGTCTCATTTTTCTAGCAAATCAACTCTTTTTGCCAAAATTAGCAAATATTCGTCCTCACACCTAACCAAAGCATAAGTGGCAGTTTTTTTTATCGCAATTAATTCATTCGCGGGAATAGTTCAGGGCTGGGTAGTTCAAACCAATAAACTAACTTTTTTCTTACCTAAAAAATGGGCAATTTCAGGCGAATTGATTTTAAAATAAAGCGAGGTGTCCTTTTTGGGATAATACTCTATTTCCGCTCCGG